TGACCTGAGCTGAAATCAAGAGTCCGATGCTTAACCGACTGAGCTATCCAGGCGCACCTCTCTTATTATTATTTTTTTTAATGTTTATTTATTTTTGAGAGAGAGAGAGAGAGTGAGTGGGGAAGGGTAGAGAGAGAAGGGGACAGAGGATCTGAAGTGGGCTCAGTGCTGACAGCAGCAAGCCTGATGCAGGGCTCGCTCGAACTCAACTCATGAACTCTGAGATCATGACCTGAGCTGAAGTTGGATGTTCAACCAACTGAGACACATAGATGCCTCTCCCTTTCCTCGTATTCTTATAATCTTATCTCCTACTACTCTCTTCCAATTCATTCTTCTTCAGCCACACTGGCCCCCTTGTTATCCTCAAATAGACCAAGGATGCTTCTCACTGTTATGTACCATACACCCTTACATCCATCTTCTGCTCAAATATTACTATAGAAATGGAGCCATTTTGAACACCCTATACAATATAGCATCACCCTCTTCCCCTTGAACCTGTTTTTTTCTCTAAGGCACATATCACTATTTGATATTCTATATATTTACTTGTTTATTTGGCTTTAATTTGTTTCCTTTTGCTCCAATGAAAGCCATGAAACAGAGGCTTTGTTTTGTTCATTACTGTTTCTCTAGCACATATTTGCTCAACAAATATTAGTATAAAGAGAAAAAAGATAGATTTAGGTCCAGATAGCAATGTTAGTGGGTTAGTGGCTTTGCTCAGATGTGATCCTTCTTTAAGATGGGAGCCATGAGGGGCACCTGGGTGGCTCAGTCAGTTAAGTGTCCGACTTCGGCTCAGGTCATGATCTCACAGTCCATGAGTTTGAGCCTTGCATCAGGCTCTGTGCTGACAGCTCAGAGCCTGGAGCCTGTTTTGGATTCTGTGTCTCCGTCTCTCTCTGCCCCTCCCCTGCTCATGCTCTGTCTCTCTCTGTCTCAAAAATAAATAAAATCATTAAAAATTTTTTTTAAAAAGATAGGAGCCATGAGTTGGATATAGAACATTTATATCCCAAGCACATATTTTACTGAGCAACATCAAAGGTATCTTCAAGCCTCTGATAGTTGATATAATAAAATCTAGGAGGACAATCAAGCATACATTGCATGGACACTGTGTTACACAGAATACACAGAGAAGACACAGTCCTTCCCTTTCAGGAGCTTAAAATCTATAATCTGGCTACTATCTTTACTCATTTATTCAATCAGTATCTATTGCATAAGAAACCAAAACTGATTTCACTACACTATCAGAGGTATGAACAAAAGTACTTTAAACGAGCTGTCCTTTGAAATGTTCCCTAAACCAGTTGCTCAAAGACTTCTAAGACAGCTAACCAAGTCATTACAATTTCAAAGTGTTTTCTTCCACCAAGTCAGTGTGGTAAAACATTATCAACACTCGATGGAATTTCACTTGCATGAAGTTTTTATTAAATGGTAAACAGCACTGGGACACCTGGGTGGCTCAGTTGGTTAAATGACTGTGGCTCAGGTCATGATTTCAGGGATTGTGAGTTTGAGCCCTGAATTCGGCTCTGTGCTGATGGCTCAGAGCCTGGAGCCTAGAGTCTGCTTCAGATTCTGTGTCTCCCTCTCTCTCTGCTCCTCCCCTGCTCACACTCTGTCTCTGTCTCTCTCTCTCTCAAAAACAAATAAAACATTAAAAATTAAAAAAAATTTTAAAAATGGTAAACAGCACTAAAGAGTTACTTGTATTTCTCTTCTAAATAATAATTCCATTCACATAATGTGAAAAATAACAGTACTTTCCCAACTAAGTATTTAAGTAAAGTAAAAGGGAATGGTTTTTAAGATGAAAAGGTATTTTAATTTGCATAAGAATTCTAAATGTAGATCTTAAATCTTTGATCTTCAGGCATTAGTTATATTTTCACTGATATTTAAAAGATGGAAGACCCATTTTTGAAAACTTTAAATATAATAACTCATGAAATTTTTATATCTCTTTATAGCTTTAAAGTTGCTTTCATAAACATCATTTTACTAAACTCCAATACAAACTGTATGAGCCATACTGTGTTATCTTCACTTTAAGGTATTTTTTTTTTGTTAACATCCTGTAAATATGCATTCATAATTGTCAGATTTACCTATTGCTCAAATGAAATGATAAAAACTACTTATTTCAATAATAATATTAACACCTACCATTTATTAATTGCCTCAGTTTTATTATATGTAAGATAAGGTCAATAATTTTACTTCCTTCAGAGGGTTGTTGAGAAATTGAATGTGCATTTTAAAAATAATACTTACCTGTCTGGTTTATTTCTCAGACAGAAGCTCAAATAATGGACTACCCATTTCAAAACCAGACTTAAAAACCTTAAGGAGATAATCAACAATGAAGGTCTTGGCACCTGGCTCAGTGTTAAAAGTAGCCCCATTTCTCTAGGAACAGCACATATGAAGAAATGACTCACTCATTCAAGAAATATTCATCAGCACAGTTCTAGGCGCTAGAGAGACATGGCAAAGAGAACGGAACTCTACCTCATGGACCTTAATGGGGAAGACAGGAAGGAAAAATGAAAGGAGGAAGAAGGAGGGGAGAGAGAAAGGAAGGCAATGAAAATTACAGATGGTGATAACTGCAATAAGGAAAATAAAACAAGACACTGTAATAGAGTGACGGGGGTGGTGTATGTTTGGCTTCCTTGGATTGGGAGATCAGGGATGGCCTTTCTGAGGTGGCATTTGCAATGAAACTAGAATAATGAGGAGGAAGAGCCAAGCATAAAACAATATGGCAGAAAAACATTCAAAGGAGAGTGTACAGCAGATGCAAAGAACCAAAAGCAGGTGGCTTGTCCTTGATATAGTTTCTTAAGGGATGGGGAACAGGAAGCACTTGTCCTGAGCACCTATAACTCTTTGAAAATGTAAAGTGATCCCAGCAATTGAAAAGTAATTCCAAATATTTTACCTATAAATAGCTCTTGAGGTGTATCTCAAATGGAGGAAATGGCCTTCATGTTCTCTTTTTTCCCATATTTTCCTTTTTGGTTTCATCTAAAATGAAAGAAAACTTTCTGATTAAAAAGCAGAGAAAAATACTGGTCCAAAGCTAATTATTTTTAGAAATGCAAACTACAATTTGATGAGACTGAGGTATATTATTACCTGATCAAAGAAATAGATGGGCCCAATATCCAAAGATTTGGCTGCAGTAAAGTCTTCCATTCTGCCATGAGACCTAAGAAGGAGAAATTAGAACTCTGAAGACAAGTTATCATGTTTATAGGTGATTTTTCAAAGCACTTTACACTTTGAAAGTTTAGATGTTGTATTTTCAATGAAATGTAAAAAAATTTGGGGTGGGAAATGCAACTGTTCTTTTATCTCTATCTTTGCTTCATAGGCTATCAACTTGACATAGATGCAATCAGAAGGATTGCATGCTATGGGCAAACAAAGCAATAGCACATCCCTGCCAAGTATCTTAACCTGGGCACTACTGACATTTTGGGCCATATAATTCTTTGTGGTAAGAAGCTACCTTGAGCATTGTAAGATGTTTAGCAGCATCTCTGGTGTCTACCTACTAGACACCAGTAGCATACCCTCCCAGTTATGGCAACAAAAAGTGTTCCCTGACATTGTCAAATATCTCTTGGGGATCAAAACTGCCCCTGGTTGTGAATGGCTGTGCCAATGCAATGACCAGGGAAAAAGGTTTGACAGGGAAGGAACTGGTTAAGATAATTAACACTGCTGATGACAGGGCCATTTATAGCAATGCCATTCAAAATATGGTCTGTGGAGGCGGGGCCTCAGGATCACCTGGGACCTTGTTAGAAAGGCCAATCCTCACTCAGACCTCATGTATAGTGTATCAGAATCTCCAGAGGTGGCATCTAAGAACTGATGGTTGAACAAGCCCTCCAGGTGATTCTGAAAAATGCCTAAGTTTGGGAAGCATGGACTAAGAGGACACATTTTACCTAGTAGGCTGTGAAAACCCACTTGTGACTGGGGGCAGTGGGGGGGAGTCTGGGGCTGGCTAAACCATAGCTAACTGGCCTAATGGATTTGTAGTAGAAGGATGAAGGAGCACACAGTGGAGGACTGAGTAGCAGCAACAACATCAATGGACTGGGAAATGGGATGGACTGAGGATCATTAGCTATTACTATTATTAATAAAGAAAAATTTCAGAGGCCCAGATTGGATTAGCCCATCCTTTAAGTAGGAGAATGTCTTTAAAATGAAGATTTGAAGGACAGCAAAACTCCTATTTATCTACACATCTCCATCTCATTGTCCTGCCACTGTAGCTGAAGATTCCACTTTAAGTGAATCCAGTATCTCAAAAATCCTTGGTTAAAATGTAAAAATACAGGCATTTATGTTGTAACATGTTATGTACATTCATGAAAAACCTTATGTCTTGCAATATTTTGCACTTAGAAATAATAGGGCTTATGGGAAAAACAGGGTTATGGTGCACCACTTAAAATCCATGCTACTTTGGAACCAGAGCACAAAAAAATCACACGCCAGTAATTGGCACCTGAGGAGAAACTTAAACGACCCTAGCAGGCGCTTGTAGCAGAAGCTGCTTCAGGGATATATTTTTTAAAAAATGTTAAGAGTAGAAATTCAAACTGATGGGTACTGAAATAATGTAGATGAAGTAGAGCTCCTTGCCAGTGGGGTTGCTTTAAGGGATGCACAGAGAGAAGTGAAACCTGCTACAGTGTGAGAGAGTACCTTTCTGAGGAGGCATCCTGGGTACTAGTGCTCATTTTTTATTTTTTTTAAGAGTTGAAAGATTTCTTGCCTGTGTCGCAGCTGAGCTGAAGGCCTTTTCCCACCCTAATAAAGGTTACAATTCTATTACCTCTGCTGTGGCCTCCTTTCACTAGAAAAATCAAGTATGGGGGCGCCTGGGTGGCGCAGTCGGTTAAGCGTCCGACTTCAGCCAGGTCACGATCTCGCGGTCCGTGAGTTCGAGCCCCGCGTCAGGCTCTGGGCTGATGGCTCGGAGCCTGGAGCCTGTTTCCGATTCTGTGTCTCCCTCTCTCTCTGCCCCTTCCCTGTTCATGCTCTGTCTCTCTCTGTCCCAAAAATAAATAAAAAAACGTTGAAAAAAAAATTAAAAAAAAAAAAAAAGAAAAATCAAGTATGAAAATTTGAGGATGACAAATTCCATGCTAGGCTGAGATCAGTCTCTCATTTAATAATTATTAGTTAATTTGCTTTATAAAAACACAAATTGTGGTCAAGCATGCTACAGTTGACCCTTGAACAGCATGGGTTTGAACTGTATGAGTCTACTTATAATGTAGAGATTTTATAGTACTATAAATGTATTTTCTTCTTTTTCTTAACGTTTATTTATTGATTTTTGAGAGACAGCAAGCTAGCAGGGGAGGGGCAGAGAGAGAGAATCCCAAGCAGGCTCCATGCTGCCAACACAGAGACCAATGTGGGGCTCGAATTCATGAACAGTGAGATCATGACCTGAGCCAAAACCAAGAGTCGGATGCTTAACCAACTTAGCTACCCAGGTGCCCTTATAAATGTATTTTCTCCTTATGATTTTCTTAATAACATTTTCTTTTCTCTAGCTTACTTTATTGTAAGAATATAGTATATAATATATACAACCTACAAAATAAGTATTGATCAATTATTTATGTTATTGATAAGGCTTCAGGTCAATAGTAGGCTATTAGTTAAGCTTTGAGGAGTAAAAAGTTGTAGGTGGATTTTCAGTTGTGTCAGGGGTCAGTGCCCTTACCCCCAGTGTTGTTCAAAGGTCAACTGCAGTTGATCAATGAATTAGAACTGAGTCTAGAAATAAGCCCTCACATCTATTGTTAATTAATTTTTGGCAAAGGTGCCACAATAATTCAATGAAAGAAAGAATAGTCTTTTCAGCACATGGTAATGAGACAACTGGATATCTACATACAAAAGAATGAAATTAGATCCCTACATCACACCATATACAAAAATCAATTCAAGGGGTGCCTGGGTGGCTCAGTAGATTAAGTACCTGACTCCTAATTTCAGCTCAGGTCATCATCTCACCCCACACTGGCTCTGCTCTGATAGTGTGGAGTCTGCTTGGGATTCTCTCTCTCCCCTCTCTTTGTCCCTCCTATGCACACATGTGCTCTTTCTCTCTCTCAAAACAAACAAACTCTAAAAAATCAAAATGAATCAGAGAATGGGAAAAATAATTGCAAAGCATACCCTATGTAATAAGAATCTAGTATCTAGAATATATAAGGAACTCTTAAATTCAACAAAAAGACAAAAGATGAATGACTCAATTTAAAAATGGACCAAAGATTTGGAAAAACATTTCTCCAAAGAATATATGCAAATAGCCCATAACACATGAAAAGATGCTCACCATCATTAGTAATTAGCTAAATTACAATCAAAACCACTACATACCTATTGGGATGATTATAATTTAAAAAAAGACAATAATAAGTGTTGACAACATATGGAGAAATTAGAAACCTCATACATAGCTGGTAGGACTGTATAATGCTGCAGTTGCTTTTGAAAATAGTCTGGTAGTTCATCAAAATGTTGAACATAGAATTATCCCATATGACTCAGCACTTGTACTCCTAGATATATATCCAAGAGAAATGAAAACATGTATGTCCACACCAAAACTTGTACAGGAATGTTCATAGTAGCATTATTCATAATAGCTAAAAAAATAGCAACAACATAAATGTCTATTAATTGATGGATGAAAAATATTCTATAATTAAATAGCAGTAGTAATATATTAAAAACTACAGAATTATATCCTTAAAATGATGAATTTGTGACATGTAAATTACCACTTTAAAAAAAAGAGTACCCAAAAGTCTCTGCCAGTTCCAACTTCTACCCATAACAACCTAAAGATATCAAATTCCAAAGTTCAAGCCCTCAAAAATATCTGAGTGCCTTAAAAAGTACCAACCTTCTGTCTCACCAGTTGCTGCAATTTTCAGACCCAAGGAATATTAGAGATCTGTTGGTTCTGACTCCAAAATAACTTTGTACCAGAGTTCCGTTCAGAACTTCAAGACCAACTGATTCCATTCATGTCTTTTATTTTGGTCATCCTCAGTCACTGGAAATGTAAACTTGGAATTTCTGGATTAAGAGAGCCAGTTAAGCACCAAGTCGTCTACATTCTGGAATTTGTATAAAGTTAGAATGTCTTTATTTATAATTACCAGAAATTTAACAACACAGAAATATGATATCTCAGATGTTTGGAGGTAGAATAAGTAGCCTATGGATTCCAATTCAGTGGCTGAATGACATCACCAAGGATCCAGCATCATCCCATCTTTCTGTTCTGTGTTCTTCAGATTTCATCCCCAAGGATCATGTTCAGCTTTGAAAACACCTAAAAGAAGGGACCATATTTTCTTTTGTGTGTGTGTGTTTTTTTTAACTTAGGAAACGTTTTCCAGATGTTCTCAATGGGTTTTTCTTTTTAAAATTTTTATTTATTTACTATATATTTATATTAAACATTTTTTTGAGAGGCACCCAGGTGGCTCAGTCAGTTAAGTGTCCGACTCCTGGTTTCAGCTCAGGTCGTGATCTTGCAGTTCGCGGGTTCAAGCCATGCCTCAGGCTCTGCACTAACAACATAGTAGCATTATTCATATGACATATGACATATCATATGACAGAGCCTGCTTGGGATTCTCTCTCCTCTTTTTCTCTCTTTCTCTAATAAGTAAATAAACTTAAAAAATTTTTTTTGAGTATAGCTGACAATGTTACATTATTTCTAGGCGTACAACATAGTGATTCAACATCTTTATACATTATGCTGTGCTCACCACAAGTGTAGCTGCCATCTGTCACCATACAATGCTATTACAATATCATTGACGATATGTATTCCCTATACTGTACCCTTTTATTTTTTTTAGTTTTTTAAAGATTTTAAAGTAATCTCTACTTGCGATTGAGGCTTGAACTTACAACCTCAAGATCAAGAATTGCATGCTCCAGTGATCAAGCCAGCCATGTGCCGCTATACCTTTCATTCCCAGGACTGATTCATTTCATAACTGAAAGCCTGTATCTCCCACTCCTCTTCACCCATTTTGGCCATTCCTTCCACCCGCCTTCCCTCTGGCAACCTTCAGTTTGTTCTGTTTATTCATTTGCTTTGTTTTTTAGATTCTACATATGAGTGAAATCATATGGTATTTCTTTTTCTCAGTCTGACTTATTTCGCTTAGTTTAATATCCTCCAGGTCCATCCATGTTGTTGCAAATGGCAAGATCTCATCCTTTTTGTGGCTGCATCACATTCCACTGTGTGTGTGTGTGTGTGTGTGTGTGTGTGTGTGTGTGTGTGTGTGCGTATACACATATGTCAATAAACATTTAGGTTGCTTCCATATCTTGGCTATTTTATTTTTTAACATCACTTTTTTTTAGTTAATTATTTAATTTTAAAATTTACATCCAAGTTAGTTACCATATAGTACAACAAAGATTTCAGGTGTAGATTCTTTAATGCCCCTTACCCATTTAGCCCATCACCCCCTCCCACAACCCCTACAGCAACCCTTTGCTTGTTCTCTATATTTAAGAGTCATTTACATTTTGTCCCCCTCCCTGTTTTATTTTTGCTTCCCTTACCTTGTGTTCAAGTGTTCTGTGTCTTAAAGTCCTCATATGAGTGAAGTCATATGATATTTGTCTTTCTCTGACTAATTTCACATAGCATAATACCCTCCAGTTCCATCCACGTAGTTGCAAATGGCAAGACTTCATTCTTTTTGATTGCCAAGTAATACTCCATTGTATATATATACCACATTTTCTTTATCCATTCATCTGCTGATGGACATCTGGGCTCTTTCTATACTTTGGCTATTGATGATAGCACTGCTATTAACATTGGGGTGCATGTGCCCCTTCGAAATAGCACACCTGTATCCTTTGGATAAATACTTAGTAGTGCAATTGCTGGGTCATAGGGTAGTTCTATTTTTAATTTTTTTGAGGAATCTTCATACTATTTTCCAGAGTGGCTGCACCAACTTGCATTCCCACCAGCAATGCAAAAGAGATCCTCTTTCTCCAAAACCTCGCCAACATCTGTTGTTGCCTGAGTTGTTAATGTTAGTCATTCTGACAGGTGTGAGGTGGTAGCCAATATGGTTTTGATTTGTATTTCCCTAATGGTGAGTGATGTTGAGCATTTTTTCATGTGTTGGTTGGCCATCTGGATGTCTTCTTTGGAGAAGTGTCTATTCATGTCTTTTGCCCATTTCTTCACTGGATTATTTGTTTTTTGGGTGTTGAGTTTGATAAATTCTTTATAGATTTTGGATACTAACCCTTTATGTGATATGTCATTTGCAAATATCTTCTCCCATTCCTTTCCATACTGTTTTGCTGATTGTTTCCTTCTCTGTGCAGAAGCTTTTTATTTTGATGAGGTCCCAATAGTTCAGTTTTGCTTTTGTTTCCCTTGCCTCTGGAGATGTGTTGAGTAAGAAGTTGCTGTGGCCGAGATCAACGAGGTTTTTACCTTTCTCCTCTAGGATTTTTATGGTTTCCTGTCTTACAAATAGGTCTTTCATCCATTTTGAGTTTATTTTTCTGTAAGGTTTAAGAAAGTGGTCCAGTCTTCCCAGGACCATTTGCTGAAGAGACTGTCTTTATTCCATTGGGTGTTCTTTCCTGCTTTGTCAAAGATTAGTTGGCCATACATTTGTGGGTCGATTTCTGGGTTCTCTGTTCTGTTGCATTGATCTGAGTGTCTGTTTTTGTGCCACATATCTTGGCTATTTTAAATACTACTGCAATAAACATAAGGGTGTATACATCTTTTTGAACTGGTATTTTCATTTTCTTTGGGTAAATATCCAGTAGGGGAATTACTGGATCATATGGTATTTCTATTTTTAATTTTTTGGGGATCCTCCATACTGTTTCCCACAGTGGTTGTATCAGTTTACATTCCCACCAACAGTGCAGGAGAGTTCCTGTTTCTCCACATCCTTGCCAACACTTGTTTTTTATTGTGTTCTTTATTCTAGCAATTCTGATAGGTGTAAGGTAGTATTTCATTGCGGTTTTGATTTGCATTTTCTTGATATTAGTGATGTTGAGCATCTTTTCATGTGTCTGTTGACCACCTGTGTATGTGCTTTGGGAAAATATCTATTCAGATCCTCTATTTCTTAATCGGATTGTTTGTTTTTTTGGTGTTGAGTTGTATAGTTCTTTATATATTTTGGATATTATTCCCTTATTTAATATATCATTTACAAATATCTTCTACCATTCAGTGGTTTTTCTTCATGTCTCATTGACCAAAATTGTGACACATGTCCTTCCTAAACAAGTCACAGGAAGGATCAGAATTGTTGTGTATTAGCTTAGCCCAATCAGGGTGTACCCTGGAGGATACATTCATCTGGTCAGGCACATGGTTAGGCAAAGACAACTGACCAAAAGCAGGGTTATGTTAGCAAGGAAAAAACGAAAATGAATTCTGGGTAGACTTCCAACAGTGTCCATTACAGGCATCCAATGTCTATGGTTAGTTTTTTCATCCATTCACATTAAAGCAAAACTTCCCAGTTGGCAAAGCTCTGCCCATGGACATAGATGTCACAGTTCTCCCACTGCATTATTGTAAAATACGAACACATAAGCAACACCCATCAGACATGTAAGGAAAATGTCCAACATGAAAATGAAAGATCATAATAAAGAATTCTACTTTCAATCATCATAAAGCAACTGATACTGGATATAAGCCTTTCCACCAAAAACAACCATCAAACTAGGCAAAATAAATGTTTTTAGACATTGATCAATAGGAAACACAGAACTATTATCCCTACAAAAGAGAAACAAATGAACAAGCTTCAGGATTGCAGTGGCTTTTGTCTGGGGGCACCTTCCACTGGAAAGGCCAAATAAAGCATGGTGGTGTATCTGAGCTGAGGAGATGGAGACCAGATATCATTGAGAAGGAAGTTGCACAGAGAAGTCTGCACAGGAAAAGACTCTGCAAGACTAGGCAAAGGGCAACTATTAGGAAGAGAACAACTATGGAGAAACTATGGGTTGAACAATGATCAGAAGTTGAACAGGAATGGGAGATGTTGGTGTTCCAACCAACCACAGTGGAAAAGTCTATTTAACTATCCGAGAAATTTAGTAGAAATCCCAGAAAGCCTAGGTTTTATGAATGGGGTTAAACTAGCACTACAGTAGCATACTTCATGAGAAATATAATGACATAAACGTTATTTAAACTTTTTCTAGTAACCTCTTGGAAAAAAAGTAAACAAAATTAATGTAAATAAAATATTTTACCCAATATGTCCAAAAATGATCATTTCAACACAGAAAATTATTAATGAGATAGTTTACAATCTTTTTCATACTAAGTCTTTGAAATTCAGTGTTCATTTTACACTTACAGCACACTTCAATTTTGACTAGTCACATTTCAATTATTTAATAGCCCTATGTGGTTAGTGGATTTCATATTGAACACTGGTGTCCTAGAGTAAGGGGTACTCTAGCTCTAAAAACAAAACTTAAAAACAAACCTTGAAAGTATCACACTGAGATGCAAGTAAATTAACTATTTTAGCAATATTCAATACTCCATCAGGAAAGAGAATAAAAGTCTTTCAGAGTAGTGTCTGTAGTTTCTAGCCTAAGATAGCAAATTACAAGACATGAGAATTGGAAAATGTGACTCTCGACCAGGAGAAAAAATTGTAAACTCAGAAATGAAAGAGATGACGAAAATAGGGGATAAGGACTTAAAAGTAGCTATTATGTGTTTAAATATTTAAAGGAAAACATAAATGTAGTAAAACAACAAATAGAAAATCTCAATAGAGAAATGGAAACTATAAAAAAAGAACAAAATGGAAATTCTAGAACTGAAGAAAATAGTATCTGAAATGAAAAGGTAACCAGATAAGCTTCATCGGAATTAGACACTATAAAAGTGACCTTGAAGGCAAAGCAATGAAACCATCCAAACTGAAGCAAAAGAGAAAAAAAAAAAATCAAAATCAACCAAATAAGACAATTTCAAGTTGTCTGATTCTGTGTCTGGTGAGGTCCACCTTCCTG